AGTTATCGAAAAAGTTCATGATAGTATATTTGACATAGCTAAGAATAATAATTACGAAGGGATGACTTGATTTTTGTGGAATCTCAGTTTTCTGATAATTCAAGTAGAAGGATGAAAGTTTTTCATTTTCAAATACTTGAAGGATGTTTTCTGCTAAAAATAATACTTTAAAGATGTACTTTTAGATGGGGTATAGTTGAAGAATGATTTTGGCCAAAAACTCCCCTTACGTTATAGTGAGTCAGACCAATAATTGAAGATGAGCTAAAGGTAGTGTATCAGATGAAAGGAGGATTTGCGAGTTACTCGGAGATATCCACTAACTTTGCCAAACCATCCTTCACAACACAATTTTGAAAATTATAAATACTAGTTTTATTATCAGTTTTAATAGTTTCGAAATAGAATAGAACATTATCATATTTTTAGTACTTTTCATATTTTATCTCTCAAGTTTTGTAAGGGATTTGAACACTTGAAGAAGGAAGGTTTTCTTCTAATTTAATTTGGAAGTGAAACTCCTTGATTCTTCATTTCTTTTCTCAAATCAAGACTTTATTTCTTATACCCATTTGATTTCAACATCATAGAAGGTATAATTTCTTTTTCTTGATGTGTGTCTAAACCCCCCCCCCCCCCATATTTGGGGTGTGATTTAGAAAATATGGGCTAATATTGTTGTAAGGTGTTTCTTGTTGGTAGATTAAATGTAGTTAAAATGGTGATTTCGTCTAGTAGTTCTGGTTTAATCTGATACATTTGTAGTTGCAAATACAAGTTCACCATGTATTTTGGCTTGCTCGAAAGAGAAGTCGCTAAACCAAGATTACTATATTGATGGCCTAAGAAGTGGGACGACATGAGGTTCAGCCCAAGAGGGTGAGCCCTTGTCCCATATCCTAACACTCTACTCGAGAGCGTGAGTAGGGTAAGGTGTAGGCTGATCTTCATGCGACAAATAGGTGTTCGAGAGGAACCCATTTGAAACGAGGTAAGTTGCTCGAGAGAGAAATTATTTCCATATAAATTTTAGTCTAGTCATTATTATTCTATAGATCTTCTACTGAAGGCATGTACCCAATGAATCTAAATTAATCCATATTGTGGTCACATCCCAAGAATCCCCCCTTTCATTGTTTACTTTCTTGTTGTTTTCGTTATTTTTTACTACTTGTGACAAAGCCCCTTTGATATTTGACACTCTCGTCCCACCCCCACTAATTCACAATGTTTTTACTCGTTAATTTCTATAGCTATAAATAATTAGAATGAGATTCAAATTAACTACAAATTTTCACATCCGTTTCCTTGGGACACGATTCTAACCCTCAATTGTATTATTATATAATCGATGATCGTACACTTGAATCGGAAGTAGTGTTGTAGGTCACGATAATCATCATAATGGAACCACTTCCAGGGAGTGTGTCATGTGAAAAATGTAATTAAATAGAGTTCTTATTCTTATTAGTTGTGACTTACTTATTTAAGTTTCATTTGTTTTGAGTATTTGTGTTGAAAACAAAAAGTATGAATGCAAACAGTGGCCTGCCATGCAAGCCATTCAGAGGGTGGTGCCTTTCCTCGAGATGACATCGCAGATGTTACTAGTGTTATTTACCCAACCCTGTTAGAGGATATGGGAGCAATTTACATTCACAGGCCGATCGCGAGGCAAAATTTGAAGTCACAAGCACAACAATCCATCTCATACATTCAAGAGGTTTATATGGAGGGATGGAGCATGAAGACTCGTATGATCATATACCAATTTTGTGGAAGTATGCACTCTGTTATCGTTCAAGAGCCTATCACAAGATTCATTACAACCTCACTTGTTTCACTTATCATTGATAGGGGAAGCCACTAAATGGACGGTCAAACTCCCACATAACTCCATAAAGTCATGGGAGGCACTAATCATAGCCTTTCATGAAAGATTCTTTCCCCATCAAAGATGATGAAGCTGGTAGACGACATTCAGAGTTTTAAGCAGAATGAGGGAAACCAATCCATGAAGCATGGACGATCTTCAAGAGGATATTACAGAAGTGACCAGAGCATGGTCTGCCAAGTGAATTATTGCTCCAGTACTTTTACCGTAGTCTGGATTCATTGAATAAAGGGATAACCGATCTATTGGTGCAAGGAGGAAAATATTACAATCATATGAAGTAGCCTTATTCCTTCTAGATAATATGAAATGAGTAAACCAAGCATGGCACACCAAAGATGATCATGTCTTCACATTATGTTTCAAATTAACGCAAGAGCAACTTGAAAAGGAGAATGAAAGGGACGAGAATATAAAAAATATGTTGTATCAAATAGATATTCTACAGGAACATATGAATGGGGCATTTGAAGTATTCCAAGTTGGTGAGGGTTCTTCTACCGGTTATTTAAGGTCAGGGGGAGTCAAGGTTGGAACTCCAAAAGGTATAAAGAAGGTTTCCACCTATGCTATCAACAACGGGGTGGAATCAAGGTTTGAATTATTGTAGGAGGGAAGAAACCCAAAGATATTACCAAGATTGGGCTAGCAAGATGGTTATCAGGAGTACCACACTCATTGGAGTAAAACCCCAAATCTATAGAGAGTGCGAGAAGCCCTCGGGTAAATGTGCTATTATCACACATACTTAATAAAGTTAAAGGTTTTGACAATTTGCTGAAAGAAATGAAAATTAATTTTTCATCATTGAATTGTAAAGTAAATTCTCATGTCGATGCCATCAAAATAATAGAGCGTCAATTGAATCTTCTATTAGCTCAATTAACCTCCAAGACAATGATGAATGGTAATGAAGGAAGGATGACAATAGTTACTCGTAGCGGAAAGGTGGCAATAGGGAATATGAAGGAAAATGAGGATCCTTAAAGGATGGTGGAGAACCAAAGTATGGAGTCGTACCCGGAAGTTAGATCCCTATACTAAGTCATCTGGGTCTTAGGAACATCTCACACCAATTTCAAGCAAAACGAATGCGTAAAAGTCGCTTAAACACATTAAGAGACACATGAACACTTTCTAAGGCACACTTTGCGAACGTCATGGACGTTCTCAGACGTTTGATCTCCAAACGTCAACAAACTTCATACACTTCCTAAGAACATCAATATAACTCATTTTAACTTAAAATTAACTCAAGAAATCATAACGAAGCTCTAGTTCACCTTAGTTTGTTTTAGGGTGTTACATTTGAGCAGGTCATAACCCAACAGAATTTTATTTTAACCATTCTAATATCTTCAATTTTAACTCAATCCGCCCATTTGATATCTTGATTTATGAGAGTAGTAAAAACTATCCTTGCAAAAGAAAATGCAAAATGTGACGGCTTACATGAAGTTGTTTTTCCCAATATGGGTTGGTCCACCCCATTTGGGCTAACCCATACATGCTTTGAAATTTTATGGGTCAGGCCAGACTAACCCATTTTTATGTGGGACAAAAAATGGTCGGTCCATCCCATAAATATGAAGGCTACGATCAGCCCTATTTTCTTAAAAGTATTTTTTTTATAACTTTTTAAATTAAATTATAATTAAAAAAATATTATCGTAAATATCGATAAGACAATATAACATGGTGTTGATGATACGCTAGAAATATTAACCTAATTGTTTTCAGATGATCATAATAAAACACAAAAGTTATGGCAATATTCCATAGACTATGACCTATGTAGTGATACGCTAGAAATTGTAGGGAGTTTTATTTTATGTAGTACATATTTTATAAACATAATTTGTGTTGAAATTGTAATATTTTAAACTATAAACAGATTTTGAGTTTAGACATTTGTTATTTTTTATAGGAAAAATGTATATAATGACAAACTAATAAATCAAATTAAATGTTACAACCACACTTTGATTTAATTGTATCCTATATCAAACTATTTGTTAATCACCTCTCTCCCTCAAACTCTCGCTCGCCGCTCTCCCTCTCTCGCTCCATCTCTCGCTCGCCGCTCTCCCTCTCTCGCTCCATCTCTCGCTCCCTCCCTCTCACTTTTATACAAACACAAGTGTATAAAATGTGTTTCCGTTTGTATAAAGCGAGAAAAAATTATTTATATACATATGTTTTCGTTCCCCTCTCTCCCCTTTTTCGGATCTCACTCACCACCCTCGCCTCTGTCGCTTATACAAACGGAAACGAAATGTTTAAATTGTGTTTCTATTTGTATATTGCGAGAGAAATTTGTATATACACTTGCAAATACATATTTCTTCGTCCTATACACTTATAGTTCTATAATACAAATATTTCCATGTCTAATTTTCTTTGTCTTTCTCTCATTCTCGTTTTGTACATACACAAATTATACAATTGATTTGTATACAACTGCTTTTTTGTTTGTATATTTATAGCGATTTATACCATTGGTTTCCTTGTATATGTATAGTGAATTATACATCTTTATATTTTCTATGGAGCATAACTAAGCAAACTTTGGTATAAATACAATTATGAATTTTGTGTTTGCTATGTGTGAAAGTTTCTCTATTTTATTTTTAATTAATTTTTTTGACTCACTGACCCTATCCATATTTCTCAAGTCCCACAAATAAACAGATTTATTCAGGTCAGGATAAAAAATTATTTTCTTAAATGAGCTTCAAAAATCGTAGCTCAACTCTATCAAATTACGATTTAGGTCATACATGCCCATTATTTACGGCTATAATTTTTCCTGATTCTCTAGTTGTTTTGCTGCTTTTCTGTGGATATTGTTGTCTAACGTGTGGACTATGTCAAGATATTTTTATAATCAGATCATCACTTTTTAAAAAAGAAAAAAATTAATTGGGTAGAGATTAGATGCTATCAAAATCAAATGTTCATTAATCTTTCTGAATTCTGACATGATGCCCTTTCTTGGGCATCAAATATATAATATTATATTACATGCAAGAATGGCCTACGTGATTAAAAGATGAGCAATTCAATGTGTGTGTGTGTAAATATAATTATCGATCTCCACTCCAGATGAAATAAAAACACAAATCATGTGTAGAAAAGTAATCATGTACAGATCATATAATACACGTATAGACAATATCCTCTCTCCCAATTTCAGATCAATCAACTTGAATGCCTAATATACATCTGCTGTCACAATGCATTACCATTCTATAGCAAAAATTGATGCTTCACCCAAGTTTGGTGCTGCTATAAATCTCAAACTAATTCTCAGGACACTTCAACTTCACCAATGGAAGATATGAACATGCCCCGACCGAAATTCATAAACCAAAACAAGTTTATTTTATCATGAGATAACCAAAGTGTCTGCTTCTATCTTCAATTCTCCATTTTTATCACTTCCCAGAGGATGCTCTGCCTAATGTATTGAAGAAATGAACTTCTAAGCAGCTAATGCAGAAAGAATAACCTAATCCAGTGCAGCCTTGTTTCTTCGACCTGTGATTGGTTTAGGTAGCCCGTCAAAAATTGGCTTGGTAATGGCTGCAGTAGAAATTGCTTGAAAATCTGGCTTCAAATTCCACAGGGAAGACAATGCACTGCTATCTGAATCCTGCAAACTCGATGTACTTGATGACTTCCTAACTACAGATGAGCTGTCGTTTAGTAAAGAATCCCCTAAGCCAATGGGAATAGGATATATTGAATTTGCTTCAGCATCCGCTCCAGAGAGAGTTCGATTAGCTGACTTGGGTCTCAAAGCTAAGCCCTTGCCAGTGACGGCTGAAAACCAGCCACTGTTGCTGTTATCTTCCTTCAACAGCATTTCTGGAGTACGTGTAAAATCAGTCTCTGACTTCTGACGCCTTCTCACTAATTTCTCAAACCATCTATCGGAACCATTGTCTCTGGTGTCTTGTGTTGATAGATGATTTGCAGGAGCACCATTCTCTGTCACAAAACCATTAGCTACACTCTTAGATTTTCTTTGAAGACTAAGTGGTCGATTTGAAAGAGAAGAGGAGTTGTAAAACGGGCCATCTTCTAAATAATGCGATCCTCCCTTACAATACACTGACATTTCAAATCCTTCAGAAGCAGCTTTCTGATCTGGCGGTTTAAGACCATAATATCCTTGTAAGCTGCTCATGGCCGGCGACACTTTTGGCTGGGGAGAGGATTTCAGTTTAAGGGACTGAAATGAATCGAACATATCAGAGTGTCGACGACTTGAAGAGGTCTGCTCAGAGCTGCTAGGTCTGCAAAGAAAAAAGTCACTTAGCCACTATTGCAGATGGTAGTGTGCAAAGGTAAAATAACCAAGGGACAAGCTTCCGTGTATGAAAAGACGTTTTCAGGTTCTTGGTTCAATAAGACAAAAAACAATTAAGTCAATTCAGCATGTAGTCAAAGTCAAACAAATACTCAACGTAAAGGTAAATCAACTTTACACAATCCCCAAACACATAACTTCAACAGGTCCATATAACAGTTTCTGCTGAAACTTGTTATTTAAAAAACATGAGCTTCTAACAGAGTTCAGGTTCCTCCTCTCAGCTTGTCTAGGCCAGATTAGTGATAAAATCCTTGAGATCTTTCATTATCACTTGTCCTTTACTTTTTTTCGTCACTTTGATATCTGAACCTGAAACTGCATAGAACAAGTTCCCGACATTTTCTCAGGGCCCAAATGCCATCCACCTCTAGTTTGTTAGATGACATTCATAGCTTGTTCATATGAGGTGTCTTCTGTAAGACAGTAATTCCCCCATCAGTATTGGATATTGAGGGAAGAACTGACTTGTGAAGGTGTACAAAAAGACAACAGTTACACATGCAAGAAACTTTTCGTAAGACAAATTAAGTAAGCTTATCAATCTTGAACAAAAAAAAAAGCATTCTCTTTGTGATTGGTATGGATCTCTGCTATTTTCTTCAAGACTAAGGACGTGAGAAAATCATGTAAAATCATTACTTACAAAAACACTTAATAAGCCTGACTTATCAATTAATAAATCTAAGTACATCAAGCTGATCCCAAATACTTAATTGAATAAAGCCGAAGTAATCATTCAGAACAGCTTGGTTTCTTTGCTCTCTACTTATATCTACAGATAGGGTCAAATAATGCTGGTGTACAACTATTTACTATTTTTTGGAGAACAGTTAGATCCACAATCTTTGTACACCAAAATGCAGTAGGAGATCCATTAGTCCAAGTGTAAGGAAGATTACTTCTACCGTAGGCTGATTGGAATCTTTAAAAAATGCCATCTGCTGCGTGTCGGATCCTCTAAAAAGAAAAATGGTGTCGAATGTGTCGATCATCCAAAAGTTATTAGGGGATCCAACACAGGTGCACCAGTCATTTAGAGGAGCCGAGCAACATATATTGTACTACCTAAGCTAAATAATTTTTTAAAAGTTTTGCTTTCACAAGGTCCATCAAAGCAAGCCATAGATAATTCACAAGCAAAGAAAGGTCGGTTGACCTCAATATGCAACATAAGACCAATAAAGATACAATTTGAGTAGCTAGACAAGCTTAAATACAGGATAAAAATTTTGATTTTGATGGATAGCAGAAAAAAGGGAACAAATTCAATTGGGCAGAGGTAAGCTCAAACACAATTTTATGATAAACAAATAATAAGAGTTGCATAGATCCACAAGTGAAAATTTGAGCGCAATACCCTTGACCACCATTTGATATGATGGGCGATGGGGGATGCCGCCCAGGTAAGGGTATATGAAGTGTTTTGAGAGCAAACATTTGGAGATCTGAAACGAGGCCATTTATCCTTTTAATATCAGCCACCTATGAGCATTGACAACAAAATAACTGGTCAGTTTACAGTCCTAAATATGCAGTGATGTAGTAAAGAAGAAGATAATTGAAAAAAAGAAGAAGAATGAATCTACCTCAACACCATATCTGATAGCTACACCAGCAAGCGTATCAAATTTAGAAACGGTGTGTTGTATATAAGTGGTTCCTCCTCCAGCACTCATACTAGTACAACCCGACGAAGAAGAAGAAGATGTCAGATTACAATCTCCTCCATTCACTCTCCCTTCCCAATCCATAACCCCTACCCCCACAACAAACAAACAAGAAAAAACTACTCAGCAATTTCCCGAACACAATCTACACATTCGGCTCTCAGATCTGTTGCCGATCTTGTAAATTTGAGAAAAGAGAAGATGAAACCCTCTTCCGATTTTTGATGACTTTTTCTACTTATTCAACAATCTATACTTTTTTATCATTTATTTTCCTACTACTACTATACTACTTTATTTAACTCATAAATAAAATAAATTATAACCACACCCTACTATATTGCTAAATAACACGTTTTCTTTCCTAACAAAACAAAATTAAATGAGGAAGTGGTAAATACTCTTTTATCTTTGATTAGAAAGTTTGAATTTGAATTTTTTTAATATAGAGCCGTCTAGGTTAGAAAGTTCTTAATACAAATATAATCAGACTTAAATGTGTAGATATCGAAAACGAATGAAAAAAAAAACCAATTTCTAATATTTTCTTTTTATTTAAATAATGAAATAAAAGAATTTAATAGAGTAAAGAAACAATTTTAGTTAGAACTATTTAGCCAACAGGAAATACTAGTTTAAGTGATGTCTAAATGCAAGTAATTAAAAGCTTATCCAAAAAAACCCAAAGGAATAATGAAATTCAAGATAATTTTAATGAAAGAATCGTTTTCTATGAAATTTCAAACTTAATATTTCCCCTAAATAAAACAAAATTTCCCAATCTGTATTCTAAGTTACCAAGATATATTCATAAACAATTCTTAGAAATTCTCTTCAAGTTTTTCTTTTGCCCTTTACACAAAGTTGACTTGTAGTTGGAGTCAATTTGAGGTAAAGGTAGTGTTTGATGGTGTGTTCGACAAAAAGAAAACATATTTTACTTATCCTTTGGTAAAATAAATAATGCACTCATTAATTTTATAAATTTATTTTTCATTTGTAAAAATTTGTAAAAAGATTTTTCTTTTGAAAAATAAGTTTATTAAAATAAGATAAATAAATTTTCTAATATAAATAGGATAAACAAGGTTATTCACATTATTTATTTTCTCATCGCCTCGAGCACACCTCATTTTAACTTCAGTTATTTATTTGTTTTGGACTTCTTTAATGAAATATTCAATTCCAACACTAAATCTTATCTCACCTTCTATAATATTTATCTAACAAATATATAAACTACAGAGTCATGGCCCATGCTAAGCACTGGCCCGATATATAAGTAGATTTGTTTTTCGTAAATAATAAAGTATGCTGAAAATTGTTTATATATATAACTCACAAATTGTAAAGGAACAATGTATTCAAGTTATGTGGATGTATTAGTGAGAGGTATGATCCAGTAAGCAGAGACATAAAGTCTATTCACTCTAGCATCTGCAAACTATACACAACCTCACCAAATCATATAGTAGGAGAAATAAAATGTCGGCGCAACTCAAAAAAATGTACCCAAACAAAAGAATCAAAAAGTAAGAAAAAAAGGGGAGAATATTCAAAGTTGTTAGGAACATTCTGCATTTAAACTTTCTCATTCATATTGCATTGGTGTCACAACTTCTGAATAAACCAATATACCATGGAGAACATCAACTCACTATATGTTGTTCCTCAAAATTATTTAAAAGTGAATACAGTAGAATTAGTTGCAACAAAAGTTTCTGTTAAAGTCTATTAATTTCACTATTTTCCCAAACAGAAGATAAAGACAACAAAAAGTAAGTCATCCTTTTAAGAGTCAGTTCCTTTTTTATTTGCTTGAACAAGTCATGTTAAAACACCTTTAGAGTACACATCTGCTCAAGCCATCTCTTGGCAAAATTGGGATAGAAGTGAGCCACAATCTCTATTAAAGATAAATTCATAAGAAGGTATTTATGGATAGATTTATTTTGGCTATCAGGAAGCCATCTTAAAATATTACACATAGATTTTTTTTTCTTTTCTTCCTAAACATCATGCACTTTAGTATGCTATTTGTTTTACAAAGCTCAACCAAAATGCTATTTAAATTACTGAACTTATACAGTGTAGCTTCTTTTTCTAACAAAACAACATGAACCTTATATGTTCAAGCAAATTAAAGATAATATGACATTATCCATACCTCTAACACTAATAATTTGAGTGTCAGACTTACATTAAAACATGTTATAACTACGTTTATTCTTTCATTTTAGTTTACAACTCGTAACTTAAGATTTTCAATTCAATAAAGAAAAAATTGAACAAGAATTTTTTAAAGCAAAACGTATCCCACGTGAATAATCACATAAAATCTGAAAACTTCTTTATAAGATATTATGTGTGTCAAAAATACAGATAACTCATTAAGGAAATGAATATCACCTAAATCATTTCCAAACATCATTAATCTCCTACTTTGTGATCATCCTCTCAATTCTAGAATTGTAATTATGAAGATGATAAATTATGGTGTTTTGGTATCGTCTCTCAGTCTGCTAATATATCAGAAGTTGCAATTAAAACATTACAAAAATAACAGAAGAAATTTAGATCATACAAAAAGCATAACTTCTATATAAGAATAACTAGAAATACTAATACAACATCATCCAAAATAGAACACTATGGTTCCCTACAAATCTTAGAAGCTTGAAAAGGGTGTAAAATTGTACCTTAAGGCTTGAAAATTAGAGAATTTGAAATCAGTCATTTTCTTTGATTTGACGTGCTTGTATTTCTGTTTCTAGAACTTGACTGTCTTTCTCGATCACTTTCCTAACCCGACAATATATTTGTTAAAGCGAGTAAGGATCTAAAAGTTCTATTAGACAAGTATATCAAACGTTTTTGAATCACAAAGGAGTAAATAGTACACTTAGTATCTATTAATACAAAGTCAAGGCAAATTACCAAGGATTTGGTAACTCTTCATCTTCCATTTCACTGGAACAATATATATATATATATAAAAGCTTTCCATCCATATCCACATTTTACATATAAAATAAAGATAATCCCAAAAAAGTAAAACTTACTTGATTGAAATAGCACAGTATACATTCTTAATATCTTGCCCCTTTCATTCATAATTAGTCAGCAAGGAAGTTAAAATCATTTGATTAGCATCCTAAAAAAAATATATCATGTTAATATTAATGGACGATACCGTTGTTGATCATAATGTCTTTTGTGAATCTGGGGAATATGATAGACACGATTGTCAAAATGAAGCATCATAAGCTGCTAAATTATATATAAAAGAACACGAAAAATCTATTCGCAGATAAAATCATAACATCAAGTAGCATTAGATAGTTGAAAGTAAGATATTTCAACTTACAAATACATTAAGCAAAGCTTGAAGAAACCGTTAAATTGAACCTCTGATCAAATAGAAAGAACCAACTGAAACGGGTTAGAAAATGAATAAAACAATGTATTAAAAGAAGGATTCTTTGTTTGGTATAAAATAATTTTATACAATATCCTTTAAATGTCGTAGTGCTACAAAACAGAAGTATGTGACTTCTTCAGCTGTCGTGCCATGCCCCAATGATATTTTTCTTCAATCACCTGAAACAAAACATAATTAGTTTAAAAAAATCACATCGTCTTATATGTTATCCAAATTTCCCTTTTATATAGCCTTGTATAGTTGTATATACACCATACACCTTTTTGAACCCACACTTTTGTAATCACCCTTTTGAAAATTACCTTTACTTCCACAATATATTTTCATAACCACTTCATGAGTAAATTATTTTTTCCCTTCATCTATTTATTTTCTAAGGTTACTATTTTCTTGTTCAATGTGACATTGTCCCACATTATTAGATGTATTGTCTTGTTTAGTCTGTTTCTTTATCATTTTTTCCACTTTTCATTATGTCTCTTTCATAAAACTTCTATGTCATATTTATAGCATGGGGGGAGATAAACATCAAATAAATACTACTATATATTAATTAGCAACATATTTCTTTCCATAGTTTAAAATTATTATTTCTAGCCTAAGTTAATATAGAATTAGGCAACATAATTGAAATTTCATTATTCAGTCCACTTGGCCAAAAAAGATAATTTTTGATTTAACAACAATATCATCATATTGAATCATCACTTGAATCTGAATGAAAAATTTAGTAGACAAAACAATAAAGAGTTAAAATATGAAACTTATAGCACCACATACTGCTACCATCGGTGCATTTCCTATAAATATAAAATGTCCAAAATAATATTGATACATAGCTTATAATTTTGTATGTTAAAGAAATCATAGAATTTACTCATACAAATGGAGAAACAGAATATGCGCTATGCACCTTACAGTCAGCAAATAAGATCATATCATTCGTATCATTCCTGACACAATTCAAAAACTGAAGACATATTTCATATGACCTGCAAGAAACAACAAAAAGAACACAGCAAAGGATCACTTGATATATAATTGTGAAAAATAAATATAAATGCATAACATTAGAAGTGTTTTACAATCGTTTGTAGCATTAATAATGTCATCCAACATGAGTCATACACTTTTTTTTCACATCTATCCATCGCCTCCTGGAGGAGCAAAAATAAATAGTTTGGAAGACTATTTTAAAATTTTCTATAGATTCATGGACATTATCTATTTAATTAACAGGGAAAAACAAAAAATCATTCTGCAAGAAATGAGAAACAAAGAGTTGATGGTAAAAAGAACTCCTAAAGCGTCCTTATGTTTTAGTTTCATTATTGAACTACACCACCAACTATTTATCAAAACACCCATCAACCATAAAAAATTCACTTCTCCTAGGTGAATCGATGATTGATATGTCAGGTGAGAAACTCAGACGCACACATTATAGTTTAGATAAAGTTTTCAGTCTTCACTCCAGAAACAAATAAGCAAAAAAGCTAAAACGATGAATTTTCCAAAACGACAAATATAACTTTCCTATTTTGAAATACCCAATTTTACTTGTTTCCAATATTCTTGTATAGTTGGTTGTGGAAATCATCGAATCCACCCATTTAACAATTATAACATGAAGACACACTAATCTGACAGAGAGTTGTGCACCATAAATGGGTGATTATGTTAAGTTGATGCGATTTCTCCATGTCTGATTAAAAAATTTGAGAGAATAGTAAGTGATAATGCAATTTGACCATATCATTTTCATTGCTTCATGTTTTGTTGCTTTGTTGACAGGTCTGTCACTTGTAATTTTTGAGCATTTCTTCGTATTCAGCAAACAGAGGTACAAAAATCCATTTTCTAAGATCAAAGGTCCTTCGTCAGAATCATATACAGAAATAGATTTATATAAAGCCAAGATGCTGAAAGCATTAATTTCAAAAGTAATCCAGATCGAAAATTCAGGTTCGAACATTGGTGCTCAATTCCAAAACAAAGGAAAATTATATATATAAAACTGAGAAAGAGAGTATGGAGAGCTCCATGTTCCCAACCTCTCATCTGCTCAATTTCATTCCTATCCTTTCTTCTCCAAGTACATGCAAAAGGCTACTTTAAAAAATTAAAAAATTGAAAGAACACCCACATCCAAAACAAAGCACAAGAAACACTACATTTCAACAACAAAAATTACAAAAAATAAATAAATTGAAATACAAAATAGGGGATGACGGAGAAGAGAAAGTAGAAAATGAAAGCAACAATAACATCCAATCAAGTTTTTACCACAACTTGAAAAAATTATAAATCATCAAATGAAATTGAAAAAGGTTCAAACTCATCAAATGAAACAAAAAGAAAGAAAGAAGGTAAGAGGCAATGCATACCTAAGATGAATCAAGTTTTACTGGAAATTTCAAATGAAGTCTTCGAGTCATTTCACAAGAGTATTCTTAAAGTTCCTTGTGGGAAAGAAGAGGGATATATTATCACAAAGAAAAAACAGGTGTCACAAGCTCATATATAGTATGCCCTATATTTATTCATACGTGTCACCGGAAAAGGGTACTTGTTGAGTTGTATTTAGTCTAAATGTAAATAATAGAATAATAAAATGAAATAGTACAATTTAACTTGCTTGCTATATGATATATTTATGTTGTGTAAGTCTTCCAACACAAAATAAAGTAGTACAATTTAACTTGCTTGTGGTACAATATTTCTTGTGTTAGTCCTCCAACTGTCCCTTCTAAACAAGGGAGATATTTTTTTTACTTATATTAAATATAAAAAAGTAAATAAAAATTTACTTATTTTTCAAAAATATTTCCAATTTTCAAGAAAATATTCTCTATTTATACTGAGCATACTGTGACGTCCCGCCACCTATCCAGCCAGGTTGCAGCATACGAAGGGGGCATGCGGCCTAAGAGTGCAGCAGACGAAGGGGCAGGCGTCCCTTGAGCCTTCGAGAGGCTTGTGCAAGACTCTAGAAGCCTTCTAGAATCTTGGGACAGACTAGAGAAATCTAGGATCCTTTTGGAAGAGCTAGAGACATATTCTAGGAATGTAGAACATGTATTGAGTGCATGTACTTAGGGACTTGTATAGAAGCATTTATTTACTCTTAGGCTTAGGAGTATTATAAATAGGAGGGTCATCGTATTTATAAATCATCTATCAATTGACTAATAAGATACAAGTCCTCTCTTCCAAAATTCTATCTTTGTCTTTCTTCTAATTCTCTTAGCGTTCCGAGTAGTAAAAGGCTTACTTGAGTTTACGAGATCATGAAAGAATCGTGAGTAAATCGTCAAGTGCCGCACAGAGTCGTCAGAATCATTAGCTCCATGACAAGTGGTATCAGAGCAGGTTGATCGTAAGAGAATGACAAACGAAGGAGACGTTATCGGCGCTAGCACCACCACCAACGTCCGCACGAATGGAGGAAAGAAGAACAAGAAAGGGAAGAAGCAGCATAAGGTAAATGAAGGGATTCTGCCCGAGCCCACACCAAGCGAGGTGCAAACATATCACCCACCCACAATTGTCGATGGAAGTGACGAAGAGACCGGCGAGGATGCCGTAGACATTACTGTTGGAGACGAGTGGGTTGCAAGGGTAGAAATGGCAAGACAGGCCGTTGAGATCTTAGGCCGGCGCTTGAACGGGACGGACAGAAAATTCAAAACCCTTGAAGACTTTGCCCTTGAAGAGAACGACAACATCCGGAAGGAGTTGGAGGCATGCCAGTAGGCCGAGTTCGAGACGAAGGAGGCCATTACTTCCTTGGAGTTCAAGCTTATGGAAGCACTTGGAGCAATTGAGTCGTTGAAGGCCGAAGTGGCAACACTCAAGGAAGACAGGGAGGTTGGTGGATCCACATCACTTGACCGGGAAAGGGAGGCCAGAGTCGAGGATCCCAAGCCACCAATCTTTAAAGGCGTCCGCGACGCGCAGGAGGTGGATAATTTCCTATGGCACTTGGAGAACTACTTCAAGTATAATCGGGTGCGAAGTGATGAGAACAAGATTAACACTGCTGTGTTGTATCTTACAGAGTTGGCCATACTATGGTGGAAGCGTAATGAGACCGACATCAAGAAGGGGACATGCACCTTGAACACATGGGAGCGATTCTGAGAGGAATTCAAGAAGGTGTTCTTCCCTAACAATGTCATCTATGAGGTAAAGCGCAAGTTTAGGGAGTTAAAGCAAAAGGGCAGTGTACGCGCGTATGTGCGGGAGTTCACCACCCTTACGCTTCAGACTCCCAACCTCACGGATGACGACATGTTGTTCCACTTCATGGATGGGCTGCAATATTGGGCCAGAATGGAGTTGGAGCAGCGACAGGTCAGGACTATTGATGAAGCCATCACGCAGGCCAAAGCCTTGACAGACTTCAGGCAGGAGAAGTCTCTCAGTGCCGAGGAGGACAACGAGGAAGGTGGTCATGATGATAGTGGGGAAGATTGTGGCGAAGGCGAGGAGCAACGGCCACAACCTAAGAGGCGAGGTGAGGAGCAACGACCTCACAGGCATGACACCTATAGGTCCAACAACAAGAAGTCCGAAAATCGTGGCAACACGGTGAGGAAACAGGTTGCCAAGGGGGATGGTTGCTACATATGCAGCGGGCCACATAGTTATAAAAAGTGCCCTGAACTGAAGAGTCTTGGTGCTATTCTCCGAGAGCGGAAGGAAAAGGAAGCCCAAGAGAAAGATGAAGTCGGGGAGACTAAACAGTTGGGCTTGATAAACCTATGTGGAGTTGTCATCAAGCAACCATCGAAGACGCCAAGGCAAGAGAAGCCAAGGCAAGCGAAGCTGAAGCATGCGGAACAGAGGCTTGCGAAGTCTATGGCATGCGCTCAATATGTCGACATCACGATCAATGGAAAAAGTGCTCGTGTGTTGGTCGACACAGGTGCAGAGGTCAATATCATGACCAAGACGGCAGCAACGAGGTTGGGGTTGCGTTATAGTCCAAGCAACGCCCAAATCAGGACGGTCAATGCACCACTGACTCCCGTAGTTGGAGTTGCCCACGGAGTGAACATCACCATAGGCGATTGGCAAGGAAAAACCAAATTCATCATCGCTCCCATAGATCTCTTTGATATTATTCTTGGGAAGAAGTTCTTCCAGCAGTGCCATGCAGTGATCGATCCTCTTCTCCAACAATTGACGATCATGGAGAAAGGAGGAACATGTACGGTTCCCATGGTAAAGGCACAAGCGACGGAGGGATAGGCTCGACTAACGGCCATGAAGCTCGAGAGGTTCGACGTGAGGAAGAGGGTAACATCGTCAACAACCATTGCAAGTTCGGGAGAAGACAAGGTGCTGAAAAGTCCTTGCCACCAAGTACGAGGGTTCAAAGAAGGAACACTGTCGTGATGAAAAATAAACCGCCGAGGCACTTGCCTCCTATGAAGGAGGAAGTTTAAAAGATCGGGTCAATAAAGGTCGGGCAATCGCTGAGAAGGCTACTTGAAGGGATTGATCGAGTACGTGAGTTGATGATAGCACGACAGAACTCGACATCGATACAATCACAATACGATGCGGTCGTCGCATCATTAGGTGGGGGAGATTATGACGTTCCGCCACCTATCCAGCCAGGTTGCAGCATACGAATGGGGCAAGCGGCCCAAGAGTGCAGCAGACGAAGGCGCAGGCAGCCCTTGAGCCTTGGAGAGGCTTGTGCAAGACTCTAGAAGCCTTCTAGAATCTTGGGGCAGACTAGAGAAATCTAGGAGCCTTTTGGAAGAGCTAGAGACATATTCTAGGAATGTAGAACATGCATGTACTTAAGGACTTGTATAGCAACATTTATTTACTCTTAGGCTTAGGAGTAGTATAAATAGGAGGGTCATTGTATTTGTAAATCATCCATCAATTGACTAATAAGATACAAGTCCTCTCTTCCAAAATTCTGTCTTTGTCTTTCTTCTAATTCTCTTAGCGTTCCGAGTAGTAAAAGGCTTACTTGAGTTTACGAGATCGTGAAAGAATCGTGAATAAACTGTCAAGTGCCGCACGGAGTCTTGTCAGAATCATTAGGTCCGTGACAATACGCTAATAATGAAAGTCATAATAATCAATTCATAGTTGTAAATATTTTCCTCATTTTTATAACAATATAAGCCAAAAGTCAACATTAAAAAGAGGGAATAATTTTGGCTCTGTGTGATTGGATGGTCACTGACAAATTTCCACATTTGAACTATGAACTTTTTCTTTAGTTTTGAGAAAATATATAAAAATCTATATTGATGAACTTGAGAGTGTAATTACTTTAGCATTTTAATTATATAGATGTTTATTTACCCTTAATCTTATTTGAAATGAATGAATATGCCCCCTAATTCTGAAGTTTTGTTATGAAAATTGATTTCAATAATATATATATATATATATATATATATATATATATATATATAAATATGAATCTGGATATGAAAGTGCTAATGTGGCAGCCCTCATAGGCCAACATTAGAATTTATATATTTTATCTTTTTTAAAAAAATCTTTTTTCTCTTTTATTTTGATATATTAGTTAAATTAAATAAATATCCTCCATTAATCATTTCTCTTTAAATTCCTCCATTAATACCTTTATTATTTAGGTATATATACGTTACAGTTTACCTCTTTGAATATTTAAACCTTTCTCTATTCCTTCTTTAAAGTATTGCTAAATTATAATTAAGACACTAATGACCAATATAAGTTACAATTGTAGGCATTGATTACTCCACCACTCTTTTAATTTATTTATTCAATAGTTAAAAGTTTATGTATTACTATAAATACTAAAACCATGTCATCTTCCCCAATGCAAGAATTTTTTATTTTATTTTTCCTTTCCTCATCATATTTATACTAAAGTACATCACTTTGGTTATGTCTAATTTTATAATATATAATTTATTTGTTACTAACTTTTAAAATGTGGAAGATAAGATGAGCATTTGACAATTTTGAGAATTCAAATTGAATGAGAACAATATCTAATTTGAGTTATCAAGGTAAATCACTTTGATTATGTCTAATTTTATATATATAGATTCTTTGTGACTAACTTCTATTGTTAACACTTAACAGTTTGGACGAGTATGTGACAATTTTGGATTTAGTTTTGATGAGTACAATATTTCACTCATGTTACTCTTTTTATTTCAATTCGTTTGATGTCTTTTATTTACAATATTTTTTTTGTTCTTTTTTTTTTGTTTTTATTGCTATTTTCCTCATTATTGATGGTTTTAGTGTACTTATTAATTTGCGCATATTTTTTTAAAAATAATCTTTATTGTTTATAATGGAAGACAAGATGAACATATGACAATATTTAGGTATTTAAATTTAACTTTCATAAAACTCACAAGGAAAAGGAACCCTACATTAATGTTTATGTCCATTAATCTTCAAATGGTGTAGTGAACATTGAGAGTGTGTACAAAT